CTCGGCGGCCGAGGGCCCGCAGCAGCACCGCGCGGGCATGGCGTGGGGGCAGTCCCCTGGCTCTGCTGCCCTCTAGGAATGACGTTCTTCCCTGGAGATGGCAGGCATACAGGCCTGGGTCTGTGGGAAGCTGTTCTCCGCCTGACAGTGCCAAGGACGAATCCCTTGCTTCTCCCGAAAGTACCTTGCCTGCACCCGTAAAACAGGAACCAGCTAAAGCAGAAACGTTACCTGATTTGAATGCAGAAATACTGTGTGAAGGTAAGAGGCCTTAGGGATACCATTTCTCCCGAATCTCAAATCACACTTTCAGTATTACCCTTGGTTCTCCTTTTTTGGCCTGTTTATCTACCGCATTTATCTGAAACTCCTGGCTTTCACTTGATTTTAGCCTCATAGTTAACACAGAATTCCTGTGGTCACTCTAGCATATAAAGAATACCTTTAAGCCAAGATAAAGATACAATGTTTTGGGAAGAAATGTTGATCCGGAGCTGCTGTTTGCAGAGATTTTTTTTCCTAAATCTACCTGCAGCAGCTGAGCGTTTGCCTTTCCCCTTGTTGTTATGCTAGTACAAAGCAAAGGGGTTTTTTGTTGGTTTTGGGGGGGGTTGGGTGTGGGGTTTTTTGGTTGGGTTTTGGTTTGTTGGGTTTTTTTTTTTGAGCAGCAGTACAGCCGTTTGAATGGTCAGGGATGAACAACAGGAGGCAGCAGTGTGGAGCCTGCTTTTAAGCACTGCCCTGATGAGAAATGCTCAGGAAACTGTCTCCTGAGGAAAGAAGGATGCAAGGTCACCTGGGTGTTGTTGCTCTGAGGAAATTGCCTCGCTTTTCTCTACTTTTATATCTGAGTGAGGATTAAAGAAAATACCACCCTGTGAAAATAATTCTAGCATGCCAGAGAAACTTGCTCTGGATTACTAAGTAGTCTTGTACGTTCAGACTCAGCTTTGAGCCCAGCCAACTTGGATCCCACAGAGCTTATTTTTGGGGTGGCTGAGTGCAGCAACTGAGATCGGTGTGTTTGTGCAGCTGGTTCTGGAAACAGTGCCGCACCAGAACTGACGGGTCAGCCAGTTCCTATGTGTCTGCACCTGTGGTGCAGTTTATTTACATGCCAGATTTTTATCTGCTGGCCGACTTGCTGGTGTATGTGTATTGTAGCATTTTGCCCAGTTGGCAGTGTATATGGTGGAATAACTTTTTTTTGGTAGCCTGAGGTATATTCCTTGATAGGAGGTTTAAAGAACTTAGGATGACAAAAAAGTGCATCCTTACTTACAGAGTGGACCTTGGTGTATATTGGTTCAGTCCTCAACACGTTGAAAGGAAATGCTTGATACTGATATAGATTCCTATAGAGTTCTTATTACTGTTCAAGGTGTAAATGTTGCTAAAAACGTTTTATTGTGCTTTTGCTACTTTGGCTTTGAGGAAAAAGAAGAGGCAAGGCCTTCAATAGCCATTGAGCTAGTTGTGCAAGTCTGTGGAACAATCGGATTTTCCTACTTATTTTGGAACCTGTCTTGGTAGTTCTGGTGCGGCTTTGTTTTCTTGACGTGGAAGGGTGTTACTCTAGTCTCTAGGAATTCCTTGTGTGAAGGTATAGGGCATAGAAAATCCCCATCCTGAGGAGTTTATAATTAGGGCTGTTGATCTGAAGTGGGTGGATTGAGGTGGATGCGAGCAGCCAGCCTGCAGAATGGTAATCTTGATCTCGCTGCTGTGAGCTCCTGTCAGTGAAAAAATAGATCAGTTTAGAGAAATATTTTTTAAAAACACACTGAGCTCTATGACTTGGAACACTTGAGGGGAAACAAGCATAATGATGTTCACATGGAAACCTTAATGAGTAGGAAATGGAGCTTGATTTCTTTAGCTGTTAGAGGTGGTGGCAGTCAGCAGCCATTCTTTAATGGGCAAGGCGCAATAGCTTGGTTGGAGTTGGCTGTGAAATATCTTGAATGTTAAAACAAATGCAGTCCAGACATCAGGTTCAGAAGAGGCACAAAGTAGCAGGCTTGTCAGGTTATGAAAAATAATCCTTGCAGTAGCCCTTGATCTGGATGTGATCAGGCAAGAATGCGTTTGTGAAGACATGAAAGAAAATTCTTTTTCAAGAAGGTGACGTGATCTGTTGCCTGCAGTGATCGAGGCAGCAGAGTGCTGGGTACTACGGTCAGATTTGGCCACGTGAATAAGAGTTGATGGGCAGTGACAAGGAGATGGAAGAGACAAAAACTGGGAGCAGTGTGTCTGTTTTCAAATAATAGTAGGTTGGCTGTTCCTCTCCTGCACAGTGTTCTCGCATTTTGAAATGGATTTTAAGAGAACTGTATAGCGTTTGGTGGGAGCAGCTTTGTTTTTCACAAAATGCATTTGGGTCTTCTACATTTGTTTCTTAGACTGGGATGACATTCCGCCTTCGTCTGCTTTGGATAAGATTTCTGAGGAAGAAGCCGCACAGATTATTGCGGAACCACTTCTTCCCCTTCAGTCTTCCACGCTCCGAGATTATGTTGATCACTCGGAAACCCTGGCAAAACTTGTCCACCTAGGTATGTGTGATTTTGTTTGTGGTTTGCCTATATCTGGAACTTTGGAGAGTCTATAATTTGTGTTTTGATCTTACTGGCTGCCTTGTAAACTTGAAAAGAGGAACAGTGACCAGTGGCTAAGGGCAGCAGAACGTTATCCAGGGTAAATGGAAAAAGAGGAGACTGCACGACTCACTAGCAATGCTATATTAGTTGAAGACAAGGCTGGCTGGCTTTAGTCTGTTGATGTTCTGGATGCTAGAAGGAGGCATCTCCCACGGCTTCTGGAGGTGGGGAGCACTTTATGTAACTTGACTGGTCTCTCTTCTTTTGGTCTGGTTAAGGATGTTTTAATTGCAAAGGAAATTGCAGGTCTCCATCCTTGGAAGGAAGGAGAGCAGTTGCTGTGCAGAACCTTGGAAGTGAGGCACAGTAAACAGGAGAAGCAAGGAAGAGAACTTCGGTTCTCATCAAAAAGCGCTTGGATTGCGCAAAGATAGCCGAATTCAAGGTTGCTGACCACCTCCTTGTTTCCCGAAAGAGGTTAGAGAAATATATACTTGAGAGATGGAGATCTGTCTCTGTGAACTAGCAAATTGCTGTGTGGGAGATGGTATCCAAAGGCACTTCACTGCAAAATTACCCCCTTCCCTTGTGTAATGGAGTGGGAATTCCTTGCACACATACTTCTGTGCAACAAGAAGGTCTCTGCATGTGGCATGTGTTAGCGTACGTGATTCCTCACATGCAGGATTCATGGCAAATATCTTCCTTCAAAAAATAAACTTAGCAAAAGCATCTAAAATGACTGCTTTTTTCATCTGGAATCTTTCTGCAGTATACAAGGTGTTGTGACTTCGCTGTGTTGCTAAAATCAGTGCAAAAAAAGGAGTAGTCCTGTAAGTTTCAACGTGCCTTCCCAAAACCGTTATAGGAAGTAGGGTCTGTGTTTAAGTAAAACAATATCTAATTTTGTTTGTTGTAGGAGTTGACTTATCCCAGGTGGAAAAACGTCAAAAGGCAGGTCAACTCTTACTGACCTTGGACTTTGAAAAAGATATAAGAAAAATACTTCTGTTTCTTAAGGATGTGGGTGTAGAAGACAGTCAGCTGGGACCATTCCTGACCAAAAATCCATACATCCTTGCTGAAGACCTCGAAGCTTTAGAAACCAGGTAAGCCTTTCAAATAGCAGCAGGGTGTTAATCTCCTTGCCTTGAAGATCTAGTTTCCCAAATGACCGAACCTTCTCTGAGCCTGTGTTGCTGCTGCTGCTTCCTTTCTCACTTGGGTCCCTGGCTCTGTTTCTGTCCTGTCCCAGCATTAACATGTGGTGGTGGTGTTACAAATAGAGTCAACACCCTCATCACCTGAAAAACGACCATTAACATATTTTACTGCTCATCCCTGTCTCTGCCACAGAGGAAGCAGCTTGCCATCCTAGACCGCTTGCTTTACGTGTGTCAGCTTAAATTCCAAAATGTTGCTCCCTGACGTTTTACCTAAATTTGTAGAACATTAACCTCTTCAGTCATGCTTTGAAACCACTCTTCTACATGATATGTCTACCCATACCTTGTGATCTCTGCAGTAAAAGAAGCAGACCAGATCTCTTCTGCATTTTCTTCTAATAGCAGAACGTTTTGATGACTCTCTTCCTGTTGTCCAGCTCAAACTGCACAAGACTACAGTGAACTAATCTGTGTGTGTGTCATACTTGTATGGCCCTAGACTGTTCCTCAGTGTCACCCAGCTTGTCTGGGCAAAAGGGTAAATGCCAGTCTCGTCAGAAGACTTTCATACCTTAGACCAAAGCTTATTTAGTGGGCTGCCTTGTGGTGTTTGTTGGGGTTTTTTTAATCTTATTTGTGTGCGTACCAAAACCACCAAGTGTGGTTTTGTTTGTTTGTTTTTTTTCTTTTAAGAAAAGTCATTGTGTTTATGGGTCGTTCTTCTACACTGAAGAAATAAATATATACACATACTCCTCTTTCTCCAGCAGCATTACTTGGAAAGTGGTGGGATTTGTGTCAGAAGTTGACTGAAGTCTGCTGATTTCCGTAATTCTGAGTGCTGTCTGAATCAAACTGTGTAATTGTATTTCTTGTTCTCTGCCAACAGTGGAACTTCCTCTGTAATGGTAGTTGTTATTTCATTAACAATTCTTTGTCTGGTCAGTTTTAGAGATACTGTGGGATAATACTGGTATTTAAAGTAGCTTTACAAACCTGCAGCTGAGTTAAAGGGATGAAGGTTGTCAAAACAACGATATTGAGGAGCTGTGGCAGGTCTACCCAGCATTGCCTAGGACATAACTGATAGCAACTGTCTGCTCTCCCCTATTCGAATCAACCATCATTGCACGGTTTTGGTCACACAGGTGTGCACCTTGGCTGCACGAGTGCAGATGTCGACTGTTCTTTCAGTGGGCTTAAGCTAGGATGCTGGACTTCATGCTGCAGGAACTGAGATACCAGCTGATGCTGGTCAGGTTGAGGTCTTAATGGCTGTGATGGTAAACATCTATTTTCAGAAACCTGTCCTTTGTGTTAATGCATTGGTAACTTTGGAGGACTGTTTCTAGAGCTTTAAAAATGAAATTTGTATTTGTGGCAGAAAGCCTTTCTCGTCTAAAGGAAAATCTTCCTAAAGTTTAAAAAAAAAAAAAATTAAAATATTCCAGATCTTTGAAATACCGTATTGTAATAATCGAAATAATCTATGAGAAGAAAAAGATATTTTTAATTCTTCATTTATCTTCAGTAATTGAATGTAGGTTTTGAGCCCATATTTTTGTGAATCCACAGTCACTTTTTGCAAAGGCTCTTTGCCCTAGGGGTGGTATGGTGGCTTGTAACTGCTTCTACTCTTTCTCCTTGTTGGTTGAGGGATACAAACAGCTTCTCTCTATGCCTTTGCTTTAGTACTTCCTCTGAGATATTTGCAGGTGGGATCACATTAAGGTACCAGCACCAGGCTATGGGGTTGTACCTTTTTTTTCCCTTTTGACTTCTCTGTGTCTTGCAGTCACAGAGACCCTAGCTTTCATTACTCAGCTGTATTTGTTTGGTGTGTATCTATCACGTTAGATTCTGAAATGGACTTTGCTTATTCTTCTCATTCACTAGGTGTCTTGATTATAGGAAAAAAAATGCAGGAAAATGGGCTCTGGTCTTAAAATTATTCCAGACAGGCTTGCATTAATTCAGTACTCCTTTACAGAGTAACTTGTGCATGCACGTGCTTTGTAATGAACTCAGAACGTCTTGGTGTTAAATTTGAGGAAAGAAGGTCTGTCTGCTTGGCTTTTGTAGGCAGTAGCTGTCCAAGACAGAAATCTGAAAATACAGCTTTTTGGAAATAGTCATATTAGTAGACTTATGTCTAACAGACCTGACTTTTCTTCTTTCCTCTCTGTTCTGTTCTTCTGTCCCTCTGTTCAGTAAGTGGCCTTTCAGAAATGGTATTGTTCTGATTTAACCCCAGTCAGTGACCAAGCCCCACCCGGCTGCTGGCTCACTCCTCCCCCTGCTGGGATGGGGGAGAGATCAGAAGGGTAAAAGTATGAAAACTTGTGGGTTGAGATAAAGATACTTTAAAAGGTAAAGCAAAACCTGTGCACACAAGCAAAGCAAAACAAGGAATTCATTTACCACTTCCCATCGGCAGGCAGTTGTTCAGCCATCTCCAGGAAAGCTGGGCTCCATCACACATAACGGTTACTTGGGAGGACAGATGCTGTAACTCTGAACGTTCCTCCCTTCCTCCTTCTTCCCCCAGCTTTGTGTTGAGCATGACATCATTTGGTCTGAAATATCCCTTTGGTCATTTGGGATCAGCTCTCCCAGCTGTGTCCCCTCCCAACTCCTTGTGCACCCCCAGCCTCACTGGTGGGGTGGTGTGAGGAGCAGGAAAGGCCTTGACTCTGTGTCAGCACTGCTTAGCAGTGACTAAAACACCCCTGTATTATCAACAGTTTTCAGCACAAATCCAAAAGAGCCCCACACTAGCTACTATGAAGAAAATTAACTATACCCCAGCCAAACCCAGCACAAGTATCCAAAAAATAACCTGGTTTATTTTTCAGCAGTAGATTCAAGTCTAAATTGCCTGAGTTGCTTTTACTTTGAAGAGCATATTTTTTGCAATGATAAACATTCTTACTTTCCTGTGAAGTCAGATTTGCTTTTCAGTGACTGTCATGTGGCACTGCCTGGTGAGTGAAGTAGGGGCTGAACAGGGCAATCCTATTTCTTCTTTTTCTGCAGTTTGCTTTTTCAGTAAGTTTATCTCTGGCACTGGTGAACGCTTTCCTGCAAGCTTTAAAGTAAGCGTGCTGCAGAGGGTGCATGGCAGGCTGTGAAGTGAACGTGTCTCAGATAGCTGTCTTCTGAAAGCTGAGTATCACCTTTGCATAAACACTTCAGCGCAGATGGACATGGTATTGGTTACATCACTCTGGAATGTTTTATTGCTATGGATTCTACGTTGCCAGGAAACAAAACACAAATTTCAATAGATTTGGCATTTGACTTCAGATAAACACTGTAAAAGTCAAAACATTCCATAATTCATAACAACTCTGACAGTTGCAAATCAGTGTCTGTACTGCAGCTGCACCAGATGCTTTGTTTTACGGTATGGTTAATGATGACTTGAAACTGTTAATGTGCTCCATAGACCTGCTGACCCCTGTGGTAGAACGAGGGCTAGCCTGGGTGCCAACACGCACAAAGCCATCCCAAACCTTGGTCAGGTTGGGTGATTGTGCTTCTTTCAGTATCACACTTTCTAGAGTCAGGTTGTTACAATCTTGCTATCGCGCTCTGAAACTTCTTGCCTTTCCAGGATGTGATGAAATGCTTCAGGTGTGAGTCCTAATGGCTTGTTAACAGAAAACAAGTCCGGGGTGTGGGTGTGTCAGGACAACCAAAAGGTTTTATTTTTAATCTGCTCATTTAGCTGTGTGTTTAGGGCGCTCGGAAGTTGTGCCCTTGAAAAACTGAATGAAAGAGGTATAGTGTAGCCAAGCTGCAGCAGTCAAGATGTAATGGGAGAGTTTTTTAAGGGCAAATTATTCGTTGTTGTGTTCTGCATTTCCCCCCTCCTAACATCTCCTTGTTGCTGGGGTTCCTGCAGCCAGTTCCATCAGTGATACCTGGAGCCTCAGCTGCTACCTTCTGTGTTGGGGTGCCTGCTCTGTTAGCAATTGGTGCTCTGGAGCTTGTTCTTACGTCTTCTGTCTAGAGGTTTTTGGCTTGCAATGACAAGTTTTGAGGGTTTGTGGAAAGAGAGGGAGGTTGTAGTGACTGGCAGAATTTTTGGTGGGTTTTTTCTCCACAACACATGATTTAATACACAGTCCATCTTTTGCTGAATATCTGCTTCTGCAGAATATTCTGCAATCTATTTAGTATTTTGATTACTGCCAGAAAAATTCAGTTCTTGTATGCTCTAAGTTCATCTGACAGCAGACACTTCGGTATGTGCTTACCAAAGGGAACCCCTTCAAACTGTAGTTGAGTTTTTGTAAATGGTGGCACCTGGGTTAATCACGTCTCCTGTGAGCTGTACTCCACCCCCACCCCCCATTCATTCTTCTGGGAGCTATGGTAATAATCTACTGCAAGTAGTACTTGAAACAGGATTTCACTTTCACAGAATTCAACAAAGTTTGGAAAAAGTTTTGAGTTGAAAAGAAAGCAAGCTCTGTTAAACATAAAAACTTTAGTCAGTTCCTTCTCCTTTCTGACAACCAGATGTTTTGTAACTAAATCCTTGGATCAGTGAGTGAAAGTAGGGACCTATTGTAACAGAAGTAACTTCAGCTGATTTAGAAATGCCTTTTTGGACAGTGTCTCTACAGAGAGCATTTTTGTATGATATTTCTACTCCAGTGCTATTGGCAAAACAGGGATGTATGAGGTATAGCGCTCTGTTCTTTCAGCAGCAGCAATGGAATTCATTAAAATAGCAAAAGGCTGTATATATCTTCTTGTCCATACCCTGTGATGATCTATTAATGTGTTTGCAATCTAGGAGACAGGCTGGTAGTTAAACATAGGTTAACATAGTTATCTGCTTAAGTACAGCTGGAAGGAATTAAAATCTGTCTTCAGAATTGACATTCTGCTCTGAGGTTTATTTTACTTCTAATTAATTGGAAGGGATGGTATTTTGCTTTTATGATAACTGCAGATTTTCCCCTAATTATTTTTGGCAGGGTTGCATGTTAATGCTAGAACATCTGTCCGTTTATAAGATATCACTGAGGAATTTAAGCAAGTACTGAATAAATGGAGGCAATAAAATTTTCATCACTGGATTTTATTTTGGTTTTGTTCTCGTTCTAGAGTGGCTTACCTAAAATCGAAAAAATTCGCTAAGGCAGAAATTGCTGAGATGGTCTCAAGAGCTCCATATTTGCTGTTGTTTTCAGTGGAAAGACTGGACAACAGACTGAGTTTCTTCAGAAATGAACTCGGCCTCAGTGTAAAAAAGGTAAAAGTCTGAAGTCTTTAGGTACTTTGTCAGTGACAACTTCAATGCCTTGGAATGTGAAGGAGGCTTAGTTTTTGAAGGCTATCCACAAAACCTAGTGACATTACTGAGGGTAACACAGAGTTACAGGAATACAACATGACTTTAACTGGCTATGGAAGTAATGTGGAAACCTAACAGTCAGAGGTGCTGAAGTACAGTCCTTGAGGATGATCTGCCGCAGGTTACTGTCAAACGAGTGTGTTTTATTATCTGAGGTGGGTCAGAGGACTGAATCCATCACTGAAATGGCAAGCAGCTTTTTTTAACTTCTAGATAATTATTTGGCTCCCTTCATCTCTTCAAGATACTGCAACATATTTAACTCATCAGTGAAATACAGTCTAATCTGCGAATATCATGTCAAACTAAATGCCAAACCGTATGCTCAGTTTGCCAAGAGTAACCTCCGGGCTTGCTCCTGAGTGCTTACCACATTATGTGCTTAGCAGGTATTTAGCACCATGCTTTGGGATCTTCAGAGAAGCCAGTAGCTGAGTTTCCTGGAATAAGTGGGCAGGCTTAGTTGTTTCCTGTAGTAGCTGGAGATTGCAATAAATGTCAAGTTCCAAGTGGAATCTGGTGTTCTTCTATTGGCTTCTATTTGCTGAACAGTCATAGCTGTCACAGTGCCTGTTCCTGGCCTTTCCGTGCTTGAGGTAAGAGATCTCCCTGGAACAGCATTAAGTCACTGCAGATAACAAGTAATCACATGGTTTAGGGGATGCAGAGTAATGTATAGTATTGCCATAATGCTATGGTCTAAGCAGATCCTGAGGTAGATAAATTCCACTGCAGTTGAAAAATCCTTTTACAGCCTCTATCAGGTAGTGTTTTGTTTACTTCTTTTCAAAAGGGTGGGAAGAAACTCCTTGCGTACTGAGAGATTAGGCACTTGAGCATGCTTTCTACTTTTAGAGTGTGATTTTACTCCCTCTTCCTGTCTGTTTTACAGCAGCTATGGGTTTTTTTTGTTTTCCAAACAAACATATCTGAGTTACTTTTTCCATCTTTAATATATTGCTGCTTCATGCAAATGCATCTTTGGGGTAGAGATAAAATGAAATGCAAGTGAAAGTGCATCATCCTTCTTCCAACTGGGGAGGAAAAAAAGGAGTTTATATGAGTTCTCTATCTTTCTTTCACAAACAAGCTTTCAGTAGTAATCTTTCCTTTGTATGTTTTCCTTAATTGTAGACAAAGGATCTGGTAATTCGTCTTCCAAGGCTACTGACTGGCAAACTAGAGCCTGTAAAAGAAAATCTTCAGGTGAGCTTATCAGTAGATATTAAGTGTACTGTGTATCCACGTAGTTTAAGAGTTGACAGAAGATTAAATTCTTGGAGGATAATCCTACACAGAAAGAATTTAATAAAATCATTTTAGTGAACATGCAAAATAACTGAGGATTTTATTAAACAATTTATTTTTCCCTATAGCTTGCGAGTTTACAGCATACATGGAGCAGTATCTTCTGCCTTCTATTCTGTCAGAGGTTAGAAACTTCATCTGGGTCCCTTCCCACCAAAAGTTGCTATCTGATGACAAACTGTTAGCCGTCTTTTTTATGACAAGTGAAAAATAGGGCCTGCTCCCTCCTTTTTTTTTTTTTCTTTAATTATTATGGTTTTTTGCTAACTTGAATTGTCCATGAGGATTTAGGAGCAAGAAATGTGCAGTTGATTACTTTTCTCTTGGCAGGTAGCTAGTCTGCCAAAATGTGCATTTGACACCTATTGTCTGATAGCAGATGGTCGTTATTAACAACTGTGGGGTAAATAACTTCAAACCCACAGGGACTCCTTTCCCCTTTGAAACTATAACTGTGTATTGCTTTAATTATTGTGCTGTAAAGCCATCTAGGCCAAACAGCATGATGTAGTGTAACAATTTGAGGAATCCTATTATCCTATAATGCATAACTATGAATTAAAATATATAATTTTCAGACAGACTCACTGCTCTGAAGCTATTAAACACTAGGAATCTTGCAATCTGAAATGTGTGTGTGGTAAGGGAGGAGACTGGAAAGTAGCAGATTGTTCCAATTAATAGTGCTTTCTTTTTAATGAACATTGTTTCCACGGGCTGGGCACTCAGTATATTATACTGAATGTGTTTTTAAGATCCTCAGTTTTATGTGACTATCTTGTCTATCTACCGAAAAGTGTACAGTGTAGCATCCTTAGTTTGAATGTGTTCTAGAGAGAGGAAGGATTTGTTTTTAATTCCTCACTATTAGAATCTACTTAGAAGCTCCAGCCTTTCAGGGAATTGGATGTCTCAGATGCAGAATCTGGATTCAGACCTGTGTATCCTAAGCTGCTGGTGGGCAGGCAGTACTCAGTGTGAAACCATATACCACCAGTTCTGAAGTGTTATCCCCCATTCTGAGGGGGCTGTTATTTAGAAACAACTGCTGCAGTTGATCTCGGTTGTCAAAAGATACCAGTCATGGACTAAATGAGCTGAAGAATGGCTTCTGCCATCCTCTGAAGGTCTCATCAAGCACAATTAGAGATTCACTGATAGGCTAAAACAGGAAAGCTTGCATTACCACTGCCTGTTGTGGGAATCGTACGGAGTATATTGAAAAAACTATTGGTAGAAAACAAAAGCTCAGGATTGTTGCCACAATTAGCTCTACAGCGAGGCCAGCAATACATCTCCACTGATTTAACATCAGATCTTACTCTTGGTTGTGTTTCTTAATGCAATAAGTTGCCCCTGCCAACTCAGATCTGTCAAAGACACCACTACAGTGCAAACACATCCCTTCGTACTTGAATTTTATCTTAGTTGAGTTGGATATCTTGTGATACTCAAATATTTATAATGCAGATAAGGAAGAACCAGGAGTTGAAAGACTTGATTATAGTTACCGCTAGAAACAATTTCCTGTAGGGATCTGGAAGTCCTAAGGTAACTTCAAAACCCAAATTCTAAGCCTTTTCCTTCATAGTTGCCAGGCAGTTTTGGAAAAGAGCTGCAGTCGTGGCACATCGAACTGGACAAACAAAAAGCACCATTTTTTTGCCAACCGAAGAAGTACCTGAGGTGGATTTGAAAGTCTGGCTGTGTTGACTGGCAAGCACACCCACTTCATGGCTGAAAACAAGCTGCTTGTAAATGTCACTGGAGGACAGAAGACGGCTGAGTTACCAGGCACTCTTGTATGCTGAATTCCTTTCTCAACAACTCAATGAACTGCTTGCCATTCTGCACTTTGGGAGGAGTGCTCATGATTTTATTGAAAAAATGTGTTTTGCTTTGCTTTTGGGAAATCATAATTGAAGTCAAGGCAGTCTCTGAAAAAGACATCTTCAGACATTAACCAACTGTTAAATAAATTGAATCCACCACATATTCTACACATCTCTTTCAGATTCAAGAGACTTCACCTGAAGACTAGAAGAATGAAATTATACTCCCTAATATAAAAAGGGATACATTAGCAAAAGAAAGAAGACATTAACTAGTCACTGCCTATTTGATTGCTGTGTTTTACAGAGCTCAACAGCTCCACAACTAGAAAGTCAGTCTCTTGACAGTTGGTATGGAAACTGATAAAAGACTCTTAGAGGAGAATTTTTATGCTTCTAACTGGCATGTATGCTGAGATGCAGCTTTTTTGTTCATTTCTCGGACAAGCTGAAAAATACTTAGCATTTGCAGAAGTCATCTTTACTTCCAGGATACTCTATAAACAAATTACATTTAATCCAGCATGATAAATAATTTGCATTGTCTGACTTGAGAAGAACTGGAGTGGCAGATGTTATTGTGGGTTGCATTCTTGTTGCTGTCTGACAAAGGGTAGAAGAATTTTGCATTAGTTTATTTCAGTGGCGGGTTAAAGTAAGTTAAGTTTGCTGTAGCTGACTTTTGAAGATAAACTTGTGCTCTTTTTCAGGTCTGTCAGATTGAACTTGGTTTTCAACGTAATCAAATCCAACAGATCGTGTTTAAAACCCCCAAGATTTTAACTGCAAGTCGAAAGAGACTCAAACAGACATTTGACTACTTACACAACATAATGGGCATTCCCCACCACATGCTTACTCACTTTCCTCAGGTGAGCTGTTAATCTGGGAATAAACTGTAGGTGCTCTTTGCACAGCTGCTTTGGTGCTGAAGGTGGAGTCTCACTGTGTGCCGGACACATATGAATTCTTCAACTTGTCTGTGGCTTTTACTGTACTTGGGATAATTTTTCTAAGCAGCTCAGCAACCATTGAGGATTCCCATGTGGAAGTGCCCTTCTCCCCCGACACATGTGACACCACCACCACCCCTAGTCTTGTAAATTTAAGTTTCCCTCTTCCAGTGCCTCACCACCCTCTCCAGGAACAGGTTGCCCAGAGAAGCTGTGGATGCCCCATCCCTGGAAGTGTTCAAGGCCAGGCTGGATGAGGCTTTGAGCAACCTGGTCTAGTGGAAGGTGTCCCTGACCGTGGCAGGGGGTTGGAATTAGACAGTCTTTAAGGTCCCTTCCAACCCAAACCATTCTATGATTCTGTAATGCTGAAAATAAGAGGCATACAGGATTTTTGCCAGATCCTCTCTGGTGTTACAGCAGCTTATTGTAACCATCCTTCCTGTCAGGTACCTCCATAAAGGGTGGTTAAGGTGTCTTTGCCATCTTCTGACTCCCTCTTAAAATTCAAGGAAGGCAGAAGAGTAGCAATAGTTTTGTTTTCTGTCCTAGTTCACATTAGTTTGCATCCTCACAAAATCCTTCAGCAGCGTAGTCTCCTTTTTCATAAAAACTCTGCTCGCTGTCATTGCTTCAGCGTTCTTGTTTTCACTATTATCTTCTCTAAAGCAGTGTCTCTCTCTTCAGTTATACTAGTCAGAAATGCAGTTAGATCTCTGCTTTTTAAGACTTCTCAATTGCACATCTTGTCCTCCCAGCTTCTCTCTCTTTTTAGATGTTCCACTGATTCCTTTTACGTTTCCCTTACCCTTGTTCTCGTCTTTGACTGCCTACAATTCTTTTTGTGACAAACACCTTCAAAGGCAGGCATTGCTGTGCAGCAGAAGACAAGTAGTTATTTTGAACCACTGCATTGTGCCTTTTGGCTGTGTTATGATGGGAGCCGCAGCCGCTCAACTTTTTCATTGCCACTGCATTTCACTCATTTGTGTCGTGCAAGGTGATCACTTGTTCATTGTTCCTTATACCAGTGCTTGCCTGAATATGACTGTGTGTACAACTGCTTCTAGTAATACAGGGGAAAATGCTTGGGTATTCCTGCTCCCTGCTTCTCAGTGTCTCCTCTCCACTTTCTTGGCTACGATTACACCAAAGTAATAGTTGCCACACATAAACAACCAACCTTACATTCTTGAGAGTTGTATCACTCCCTGATTTCCCTTGTGTACCTCAGCACACTGTACTGCAGCATTTATTTAGAATTTAGAGAATTTATAGATAAATGTAACCAACCTGCTCTTTTGCATATTTTCTTCTCATTTATGTCAATTACTTATTTTCTTCCTACATCTTCAGTTTGTCTAAAAATGCTCTTGTTTTGGATTCATCAGAGTCTGAAAAATAGATAAGCTAAAAGATTCTTCCTTTTCTTTCTTTTCTTAGGTTTTCAACTCAAAGCTATTACGAATCAAAGAGAGACATAAGTTTCTGACATTCTTGGGAAGAGCCCAGTATGACCCAGCACAACCCAGCTACATCTCTCTGGAGCAGCTAGTATCCTTGCCCGATGAGGTGTTCTGTACAGAGATTGCCAAAGCCTCTATACAGGACTTTGAGAAATTCTTAAAAACACTTTAATTAGTAACACATGTAAAAAGGAATAGAATAAAGTTATGAAATAAACGTATTTTATACAACTACTCCCCTTTATGGTCTCTTAACTTCTTAATTACTGGTTCAAGCAGTTGTTACTTATAAAACACTTGCAGGATTTAAAGGCTTACAGTTATATTCCTTATGGTGAGTTAAAAATATATTTCAGAATCATAGAATCACAGAATGGTTTGGGTTGGAAAGGACCTTAAAGACCATCTAGTTCCAACCCCCCTGCCATGGGCAGGGACACCCTTCACTGGACCAGGTTGCTCAAAGCCTCATCCAGCCTGGCCTTGAACACTTCCAGGGATGGGGCATCCACAGCTTCTCTGGACAGCCTGTTCCACTGCCTCACCACGCTCTCCGTGAAGAACTACTTCCTGATATCAAGGAAGGATTAAGTGAATGTGTTGTTACATACAAGCCACCACACAAAAAAAGGCAGTAGTATATATTTGCCTACTTATAACAACTGAAGTAAATGCTAACGTTAAGAATCGCAAGGGTATTAAAATTACTTAATGTTTCAGTAAACAAACTGCATTAATGTGGAATTATCAAATGCCTCACAGCGTATTTGGGCAAAGTGAAAAAAATGACTAAACCCAAATGCAAACTGATAGTTTATTGTTTAGAAGTTTCTATTCTTTCTGTTAAAACAGTTCAGGAAACTGAAATCCAGATGTTTTTATTTGGATTTAAGCTTATTTAATGAAAAAGTCTCAGTGTTTTAAAAGCTTAATGTTGGAGCTTTAAATGCCAGTTTGAGTCACAGAAGTGTAAGAGAACGATTTTGCGTGCAGACAGCAGAATAAAATTCAAAAGTTTGCATTTCCTCTAATAGGTGGGAAATACAGTAATGTTAAAGAGACATTTAAAGAGTGAGAATATTAATGATCTCTGAATCACAACTCTGGTCTTCTATCCAAAATAAAAATTCAGAAGCTGAATTACTGCACCCAAGAAAAGGAGCATTGTCAGAACAAGCAGGCTGCAAATTGATTTACTGGTGCATCTGCACTTGAAACACAGTGAAAAATGACATTCATTGTCTGCAGTATGTATCTGAGATGTTCCCTCTTGTCTTCACGCTCATGTTTCCCATTCCTGGCCTAGAAAGATCACTGGAAACCCTCTGTTGAGTAGGCTGTTGGTGAAGATGAATAACCCTTCATCTAAAGTGGTGGCTGAAATGTGATGGCTCAACATTCTCCCCCATTCCTTCCTTTCAAATAAAAATATGTCTAATTCAATATGCTTACTTGCTTTTGACTCTATTAAATGCTAGTAACAAACTATAATCTTCAAGCAGTCCAGTAAAAATGAATGTTAACAGAAAGTATGTGGGTTCTTAATGCCAAAGGAGAGAGTTTGCCTTTGCAGATTCACTCTGCTATCCTTATCACGTTCTGTATTACCATGTGACAAACAATTGCAATATAAGTCACATTATAGAATGTCTGTGGTGTTTTGAATGTTTTAAACTTTGAGGTTTTGGTTCCTTTAATAATTTCAAATGTAAAAATGATTGCCACCAGAGCTAAACCAGTTTCTTTGAAATGTTAAATGCGTGATCTTATGCCAAAATAGCTTTGCAGAAATACCACGAAGAAAGGAAGCAAAAGATTTTATGGGAGCGTTAAAAGGAAAGGGAAGAGAGAGATGAACTTTTTGAGGATCATGCCAAATACTTCTTGGCTTTACAATGAAAAAAATCTTTAGAAGAAACATTTGGCCCAGAACAACAAAATCTGTTGTAGGCTGCTGTTCTTGATAAGGGCTCACCGCCTTTGATTGAGCATGTAGGTTAATTGAGGCTTGCTGGGTATAATAACAGCAGACACTTTGCGGCCTGCTGACACACACTCTGAGCTGTGCTGTTTGCGTATCGCACTCAGCCGCATGTTTTTCTGAGATTGCCTACTGTAGCAGCAATTCTAGAAAAATTCCATGTATTTATTTCTGTAAAAACGCAGTGGAGAGGCAGTGATTTGTGCCTCAGAAACAGCCACGCACCTGGCAGTTGTGATACCTGAGCAGAGAAGTTTCTCCTTCCTGTGGTTGACTTGGTTCTTTGCTTACTGTGCTTTACAAATGAATTTTTTGGCAAATACGCGCCTTTACCCCTCAGTTTGCTGTTACTGGTCTACCACTTCAGCCACCTTGATTGATGGCTGGATTACCAGAAACTGAGGCCACTGGTTGTTCACATGTGCTCTGCAGGCTCCATGTTCACCCCGTGGCCATGCAGGTTTGCTGGTGAGTGTGAGCAGCACTAGTGAAGTCCTCGCTGTAACCAACGTGGTAAAATACTTTGATTTTTGAGTCCCTGCCGGTTTGCAGAGGTGCTGTAGCGCACACGCACCGTGAGGCAGCTGTGTTATGTTGTTCTGAACAAGCACTAATTAATCTTGGCTTAGTTGCCGACTCATCAGTACTGTGAGCGTTATTTAAAACCATCCTAAGAGTCGTGGGATTCGCCACACCAACCCTGGCCTCTTGTCGCTCTTCCCGCCCGCGGGCAGGTGCCTCAGAGCAGCCCGGCGCCCCGCGGCGGTTACGTCAGAGCTCCCGGGCCAGAAGATGGCCTAGCGGGAGGCCACAGCAGTGACAGGCGGCCAAGGAAGGGACCGCTGAGCACTCTCCGTCCTTCAGGATGTTCACTCCGGCCGGGTTCTCAGCCACGAGCGAAGAGGCCGGCCGGGCCAGA